TAGCAATGGTAAGTTGGTGGCCAAGACTTTTAATTGGAAGATATTGAGTTCACCCATACTGGCATGCACGTAGTAGTTATGATGGGATGCACCCGATCTGCATGTGATTATTTTACCACTAGTTTGCAACAAATAGTTGAACATGAAACTTTTAATTTTTTTATATAAAGATTTTTTTAACCTAATTTATGAAAGTTATGACAAAATAGAAATTAAAAATGAATAATAATTGTCATGATTTATTTATGCCCATTTACCTATTTATTTATTTTTATTTATTCACTTATTTATTATTTATTTTGTGGGTTTTAACACTTCACAAAATTTTACAATTTTGAATACAATAAGGTGTTTTGAACTAAATTTAAGAATATTCAGACAAACAAAGCACATCCAATCAAACCAGAGGTAACGTAAGCCATGGTTTCGTGTCTGAGTCAAATCGATAAACTGGCGTGAGAGTCGTGTCGATGTTAACAATGGTTACCAACTGGATACCAAACTGAAGATGACTGGATACCGAACTCAACGTGGAGTTGTAACAAAAAAAATCATTCTCTACAAATTACAAACAAAGTTTTATTTAATGTGGAAAAGCTGTATATCCTGTTATGCCAACACTTTCAAACATTACCACATGTCTACAAATATGCAACAAAGACTTTGTAGATCTTTAATTAAAATGTGTTACGTTTTGATTCCTGGTATGAGTAGCCATCGTCAGGCCTAATCGGACACGTGTTTTATAGCTTAATATATGTATGTTCACAGTATAGTACAGGCTTTTTTGTGTTCAAAAGTAAAACATAAAAAATAGATATGTCCTAATATATTACAAATAGTCAAGAAGGGAAGAAATCTGACGACTCCCCTATCCAAAGATTGTGGCGAGGAGTAAAAAAAGGGTGTAAGGTAAACAGCTCACACAATGGAACACTAATCGTACAATGTCCACAATAAGCCTTTGAACAACATTAACTCACCATCACCAACAATAAACTTTAAACAAAGAAAGTATTTAACATGGTTGTAATTAAAGTTTTAGCCTAATTTTGTAAAGTGTCTTAATTATGTGTCTTAATTATGTGTTTTCTGTGTGTTTTTAGTCTCATCCCGTGTAGTTAGATGCCACTTTGGTCTAGTCATTCTTGTCTGAAACAAATATTTTGGGCTAGGTGAATCTAAGGTAAGTTTACTTCACCTAAATCCTAAATATTTACTTTGGCTCATTTCCAAGGACGATAAATCTATATTTAATCTATGCTTTAACTTTGGAATCTGACAGATTGTGATTTTAAAGTAATGTTACTAATGCTGCTATGTTATTTCGTCAATTTCGTCAATATACATTAGAAGCCTTTTCTTTTATTATTATTTCCTTTACACGTACCTCTATAAAACTTCCAATATTTTTTTTATTGCTAGTGAGATGTAATAGGCAATGTCATATTAATACAATAATTCAATGCCTTTTAAAAGGAATATAATGAAAAAAAACAGGAGCCTTCAAAAGTAACATCCTGGCGTGTTTATGAGAAATTTTCTTTTATTTTTGTGTATGTATATATATTTTTTAATAAAAATATTTATCACTAGGTAAGTTAGCGTTAGCACAGAAAGTTTTAATTATATAGATAATAAACCTTATTTAAAATTTCCCATGTGAATTTTTAGTTTCACTAGATACGTTTGCATCTTCTAATTTTTGACAACTAAAAACTACACGTCATCAACTGTATGGCATTTTTTTGTTTGTTAAAAATACACTTTATATTGAAATTGAAATAGATATACATAATTGAGTATACAAGTGACTTATATTTCCCAACCCGTTTAAGACTACAATATAATATTATTATGCTGATAATTGCAATGAACAAGTTTGCAGTTCCCGGTTTCACTCACATAGCAAGAAACCAATTCATTTTCTATTTCAAGTCAAACAAAAATTAAATTCACAATATAAGGGTCCACATTATAAATAACTATATATTTTTTCAGATTTACTGCTACATTTTCTGTTCAAACTATTTGATAAATTTTAATGTGTTTAATTATGCTTGGATAATTCGATGGAGGGTCTAATCTAGCTAACAATCAGTTCAACCAAAACTTCTCCAGAATTAATCAGCCTCATCTTATCGAGGAACCTCTAATCTCACTGAAATTGACAGCGGAATTAAATTCTCGATGCTACATTTTTCAATACTGTCTTGTTCTTGATTATTTGGTTTTACTAAATAATATATTTGCTATTGAAATCTTATGGAAACAGTTTGTAAAGACAAAACTCATTTTTTATTGGATGGCTTACATATTAAAAAATACTTTCAGAAATATTCTAAATAAATCCGAATGGTTTTCGATCTATGAAACAAATGGACGGATTCAAAATTTCCTTGTAACAGCTGTGACTGTCGTCTTGAGTACCTATAATTAAAGTTTTTTAACAACGTATATGTCTAATTGAAGCAATTGTAGCCATAAGGGGGTTTTAAGTGATCTCGACATACGGTCTTATTCCTCCATAGAATAGCAGAATTTTTCATGAAAATTTCAAAAATATCGACAATCACATTATAGTTCTTCTTGCAAATATTAATCGTTTACATAATATTACAGACAATATACTAAGAATTCATGAATAACTTTAAACAATTAAACATTTCTAATTACGGAAAATTAATGTAAATAAAAATCATCAAATACTCCAAGAATGACCTTAAATATCCAACAATACTTTGGAAAATATAAGCCTATTGTACCTGTTCCCATTTTTTTTAAGTGCCTAATGTGAGATATATTTGTTACGCAGCGTTCCCTTTTAAATCTAACTACCAATCTCATAAAAGAATTAGGCTATATTTAATTGTAAAATTAGTAATATCTTGTGTGAACTATTAGGTCGGACAACTTAGTAGGTCTCCACAATGATCCAATCAAGGTCAAGGCCACATCTATCACACTATCTTGCCTTGGTCTTCTCTTGGTTCACTGTTGAGTGGGACTTCAAATAAACAATTTCACAATAATTTATTTATATGTAAAATAACTTTGTATAACTGTTATTGGTTCCTTATCAATTTTTTGGACTTAAAAAAAACTTTCGACATTTGCTTTTAACAAGCAGTCCTGTAAGTAACGTATTTTAGTACTTTCATTTATATCAACCACTCATTTTTGCCGAAATTAAAACACGAAATAAATAATACAGATATAATTAGCTTAAGTATTCCACTTATATGAGATAAGAAATTTAACCAAGCATCTAAATAACAAACAGTGATACTGTCAATTTAAAAAAAGTCTGCATTTGATATTTTGTATAAAAAAAATTAAATTAAATTATTTTCTAATGGCAATACCTTTGAGGAAAAAGGTAGTTCATCAACGTCTAAGACTTAGAGCAGATCCTAAGATATGCAGAGTAAGATTGTCTCATATTTGCGGCCCATAATAGTCATAATATGTTCCATTAGCTCCCAATCAACGCAGATTTATAGGTAAACAAAAATTACTACAAAATAAATTGCATTAGATATCACTAATCACGATAGCATTCCTGCTTAAATTCAACTTGCACAGTATTCAAATTCTTTATCGTGATTCGAATTGTTTATTTAAAAAAAGGAAATGATCGGGTTTGATTGAATTTTGTCACTATACTTAGGTGAGTGACCGTTGATGATATAATAAATATTTACATGCTCATTCTCCAAGCATAGATTGCAAGCCATTCCAAGAATTAATTGGTCTAAAATGTTTTCCTTAATTTTAAAATAAAACACTGTCCAACCTCTAATCAATATTTTTTATACCATCATTTAATGTGTTATTATTATTAAGAATTGTTTATTAAAAATGTAGTAGTAATTTAATTGTGTATTCAGTGTAGGCTACATTAGAGGGTTCTTAAAATATAGTTCACAAAGGCTACGGATAGTACCTGCTTTCCAGGTCAGTGAGTATTGATCAAAGTTATAATTATAGTTTGTGTTTAATAATAGCTGATCACGTAATAACTAAGACAAACAAGGGAAAACTGGTAATTTGATCGAATCCTAAATCTTTGAAAGATCTAAAATCTAACGAATATAATTGAGTTAAAAAAAAATCCAAGGTTTTCCAACGTTATATTTGTAATTTGAACATTTTATCGTCGTGTTCTAAGATAAGTAGATATAGAACATTAATTGTTCTTCGTTTTGGGTAATATTAAGTGTAATTTCATATTGCTATCGATTTTATAACATAATTTAAACGGCTACACTGCAATTGTGTTTAAAGGTAAAACATAAATCAAAGTTTTGTATTTGCAGTTTTGAAATCACTTTAGTGATTACGAACACAATCTGTAAAAAATTATACAAAAACATAAATTTGTTTAATTTTATTGGTACAAAGTTAGAAACACACTTTTAAATTAGTTCTTCAGGTCTTCTTTGATACACGTATCAAAAACTTTTACGAATGCACTAATCTATGATCAATAATCATTATTGTATAACAAATTGAAGCTTTAAATTGATGGATATAATCTAAATCTTGAAAAAGTTGCAGAATAAAATGTTAAATACACAACAGAAACTCATAAAGTTGCTCAGAAAACCCCAGTAGAGCGGATAGTTAGTGTAAATTAGTCTCTTTGTTGCTTTGTTCCACTCTTGTGCCATTTAAGGCAGACCGACTAAACGGAATTCTAGTTTACAAAGGAGCTTTTTATGCTAGTTAAACACCCCTAGAAAAATATTGACTTAGAAAAATAAAAATCTGTCAATAACAAATAAAGTGTTTAATTTAAATAATAATTGCTTTTGTATATAAAAATCTGTTTGTTATAGATTTAAAACAAGAATATACCCCTTAATAGCCATATAACAGTGAGAAGAGATTTCAAAGGCCGGACATTCCAACAAGTTACCGGCCTCTAGTAACAGGTGGGAGGGAGAAAAACTGATTATATCGCATGGACTTATTTTAAATAGTTATTTGGCACTTACAATGAGCAAGAGGACAAACTCCTGGCTAGTTTCACTCACACTCACACATGTGTAGGACTAAGACACACACACGCGCGTGATCGCAAACTGTCGGCCACGGACTGACAACTCCAGGTCCTCGCGCACCTCCGCGACGCAGCGACGACGCTACAGTCGATACGGCCGCCGCCACCACGCCACTGTGCCATCTCACCACCATAATACTGTGCCATCTCATCACTACACCACTATACCATCTCACCACTACACCACTGTGCCATCTCACCACTACACCACTGTGCCATCTCACCACTACACTACTGTGCCATCTCACGATTACACCACTGTGCCATTTCACCACCATAATACTGTACCATCTCACCACCATACTACCGTGCCATCTCACCACTACACCACTGTGCCATCTCAACATTATACCACTGTGTCATATCACCACCATGCTACTGTGTCATCTCACCACTATGCCGTCTTAATGTGCCAAAACTCAACAATTCCATTATGTCATCTCACCACCACGCCAACATTGTGCCATATCACCACCATACTACTATGTCATCTCACCATCACACCCCTGTACCATCTCACCACTATGCAACTGTCACCTCACCATTTCGCCACCATACCACCACGCCACCTGACTACTTTATACCATAATGCCAACTTGTTCGATATGTCATAATCTTACTTAACTCACCATGTCATTCATTACGCAACAACACCACGAAACTACCACACCACTATGCCATCTTACCACCACACCACTATTCCATCTCACTACCACACCTCTATACCATCTCACAAATGATAATATGATGAGCTATATGTGTACATAATGATAGTATGATAACATGGGGAGATAATATGATAATATGACACCATTGTGCCATTTCAACACTAACCTCGATACTTCATAACACAACAACCCCTTACTGCCGTGCACTTCGATTCTTCACCACAAAACTACCACCACAGTCCATGTCATATTACCACCTCACCACCGGGTGTTGCAATGCCATCAGGCCACTACGATAGCCATGCCACCACGCCAGCTGACTAATTCCACAGTGCATACCACAGTGCAACCTTGCTTATAACTGCATTCCATCAATACACTTTGCTCGCCATGCAATCATGGATATGCACCGTACCATCTATTTCTACCAAGCACTATGTAGCACGTCACACGGTTTTCTTCCTTTTTTTATCATTGTTAGACCGACGATTGGTTATTTCCATCACTAAAAATACCTATAGATAACATAAGCTAACGAGTATATATGTTTTCTACAAAGCTATACAACACTTTTTGCTATTAACTAAGGTAACCTGGTATAAGAATAAATCCCACTTTTGTTACACGTTGCACCATTGATTGTACTAGTATTTGCACGTTATAATATAGCCTACATAAAAATAATGAATACCTCTACTGTGAAAAAATGTTGTATTTTAACTCAAATACGACAAAACAAAACGATAACGATTAAAATTAATGGTGAACCTATAAGTCTAATACATAAACAAAATTAAGCTTCATAATAAAACTATGCGACGCAGAGTAGCCGTCGTTCGCATAGGATTGTCGAATATAAGTATGAAATGCTTATTGTAGTTATAATCGTTCTTTGCGTTTGCAATAGGGAAAGATGCGGTTAGGTAAAATTTGGTTCTTTAAATTTAAGGTATGCTAATAGTATCTACCATAGCCATAATATTCTGCCTCTGCACCTAAAAAAATAGAAAAAAGGCAATTATAAAACATTTGCACAATATCAAAAATTAGTTTTTTAATAAAAAAACATGAACATTTCTGTAAACAATCCTACTTTGACAGTTCTCATTGTGTATTGCAGCTTTTTGTTGCTGTTTAGTTCAAATTAGCTGTTGTCATAAATGCAAAATAATTAATGATACTGCACCCTGTTGGTAAACCTTATGCATTTTTTGAGCGGAGCGAGCGAAGCTCTTATACGTCGACTCTTTTGCATTTCGTAATACGCAAACTCCTCCTAGACGGCTGAATCAATCGTTTTCAAATTTTGCCTGGTGATAAAGACCATATCGGTGAGTGCCAACATCTTTATGGCGTTAAAAAAGTATCTCAAGAATCCGCCCCACTGGGTTTCAAAATTTCAATGTTATCCTTATGGAAGCAGTATTTGACACATAAACAAAGCCATATGCTCAGATGTTGACTTTTGAATGTAGTAGATAAAGAAATAGCTGATAGCATTATTCCACAGATATTAGAACAGAAACCGAATGGATCATTAATATAATCAAATGACGACACTAGCTTGGAGTCCGTGACGTAGGAAGTGGTGAAGGAAGTAGTAAAGGTGATCAGTCTGGAGTGTGGAAACAGTTTATGACGATTAGATTTAGGTATCTGCATTCCTAAAACTCTATGAAAAGAAAGGAAAACAGGTCCGCGATGTAGGAAGTGGTGAAGGAAGTAGTCAAGGTGAGCTGTCCGGAGTGTGGGAACTGTTTATGACGATTATATTAAGGTATCTGCAATCCTAAAATGCTATGGGAAGGGAGGGAAACAGGTCCGTGACGTAGGTAGTGGGGAAGGAATCAGTAAATGTGAGCAGTCAGGAATGTGGGAACTGTTTATGACGATTAGATTAAGGGATCTGCAATCCTAAAATGCTATGGGAAGGGAGAAAACAGGTCCGTGACGTAGGAAGTGGTTAAGGAAGTAGTAAAGGCGAGTTGTTCGGAGTATGGGACCTGTTTATGACCAATCGACTAAGGTATTTGCAATCCAATAATGCTAAGGGAAGGGAGGGAAATAGGACGGAGGAAGTGGTGAAGGAAGTAGTCAATGCGAGCTGTCCGAGTGTTGGAACTGTTTATGACGATTATATTAAGGTATCTACAATTTTAAAATTCTATGGGAAGAGAGGGAAACATGTCCACGACGTAAGAAGAGGCGAAGGAAGTAGTAAGGTATGATCAGTGTGGATTGTGGGAACTGGAAACCGTTTGTAGCAGTTAGATTAATGTATCTGCAATGCTGAAATGCTATGAGAAGAGATGGAAGCGTGCCTACGACATAGAAAATGGTGAAACAAGTAGTAAAGGCTAGCAGTGCGGAGTGTGGGCAATGTTTGTGGCAACTAGATTAACGTATCTAAAATACTAAAATGCTATGGAAAGTGATGAAAATAGGTCCACGATGTAGGAAGTGGCTTAGGAAGTAGTAAAGTATGAGCATAGTGTGAGAACCGTCGGTGGCAGTTGGATTAATGTATCTACAATCCTAAAATGCTATGAGAAGGGAAGTAAACAGGCCCCACGTCGTAAGAAGTGGTGAAGGAAGTAGTAAAGACTGGCAGTGCAGAGTGGGGGGACCGTTTAAAAAAGGCAGTTAGATAAATGTATCTAATACTTAAATGCTATGAGAAGGGAATGAAACAGGTCTATGACGTAGGAAATGGTGAAGAAAGTAGTAAGGCTTGCAGTACAGAGTGTGGGAACTGTCTTTGGTAATTACATTAATGTATCTGCAATCCTAAAATGGTATAGGAAAGGGGGAAACAGGTCCACGACGTAAGGGGTGGTGGAGGAAGTAGTAAAGGTGAGTAGTGTTGAGTGTGGGAATGGATTAATGTATCTGCAATGCTAAAATACAATGGGAAGAGACTGTAGACTGTAGGTTAAAATGATTACGAAGCACGAATCGATACATATTTCGATACATGCAATCGTTTACAATAGAAATTCACAACTGAGTTGACAACAGCTGATTTTTACTCCATAGAGGCTAAAAACTATTTTTACTCCCTAAAGAGTAAAAATGCTACTTTAGACCCGCAACGCATGCATTAAAAACGACTGTTTTTACTGCAGTATGACAAAAACAATATAATATGAACCCTTGATGACTCCGCTCAATTTTGTGGATGCCTCTGCGAACGCCATCTAGTAATGCTATCATTCAATATCATAAAACCAACTTGTTTAGTTGAAACAGCTGGCAAAAATCTCAATTCCTTTTAAATATAAATAAACATAAGGTTAACATGGGAAACTGCAAAGCCACTGGGGCTGAGCTAGAAAGGATGTTTTTAAATAACAATAGGCTTATATGGTACTGTAATTTGAAATGTGAGCTATGTATTATCATGCCAAATTTCATCCTAATCCGACCAGTAGTTTATGCGTGATGGCGCACAAACACACAAACATTCAAATTTATAATATTAGTATGATGATATACTTTGTTATTGTTATAGTTTTTAAATTTCATAAACATTAATTTAATAAAATGTCTGCTCACATATGTTACAATGTAACAGCTGTATAAATTACACAGCTAAATGTCAGAGAATCGCTGTTTTCTCAGGTATGAATACAATAGACATGTAAACAACAAATGACAATGTATTCCGGGGTGATCCCTTTCCCACCCCTAAATAAGATGTTGATGTTCTAAACTAAAATATGCATGTACTCATCTCAAACATCAAAATCCAATGTGATTTTATATTGTATTGTAATTTACACTCCCTTTAACAATTAATATTTTGGGACTTTCCAATTTGTTTTTAAAGTCATCTTGCTATTGTGGTCTATCAACAATCGTAGATAGTAGTTATGCAATTATATTAAAAATGGTGATTGTGGTAGCAGTTAAAAAAGCAAAGAACTAAAAGAGTGAAGATTTTCCGGATTTTAAGTTACCCCTTGGCAGCCAAGCGTTACATCAACAGTAGTTATTAAAACATCAGCTGTTTTTTAAATCCAAGAAACCAATGATAATTCGGTAAAAGCCGTTTTTGCTTAACCTATTATTTCTTTCTCGGGTTTGTTTAATTATTTAATTGATAGACCTAGTTCTATCTTTGTTGTGGTTTTAGTATGACAGACAGTTTAACTTTAATGAACAGATAATATATCGTCGAGCTACACATATATTTTCCCTTTCTCCCCCAACATACTGTAGTGTACGGAGAAAGTATTATTATCGTAAAATGTTCATGTTTGTGTTTTTTTCTGGATGTATCCATTTTGGGTACCTAAACCCGAATATTGGTTTCGAAGTGATGCCTGAATGGATGTTTGGTCATTCCGGTCATTTATAAGTAAAATAGTTTT